ATGAAAAAACTCTTAACATTCAAAAATACAAACATAAAAGATGGTTGAAGAACAAAGAATGAAACTGAGATGTGCTCAGTTTTCCTTTGCCATCATCTCCATCAAACATTCTTTGCCATGAAGCCTTGGGAGTTTAGAACATCAAAGCCACATCCATGAAGAGTTTTCTTGGGAAAACTCAAAACATATCCATACCAAACATAAAAGATGGATGAAGAACATACCATGAAACTGAGTTTTTTGTGCTCAGTTTCCCATTTCATCAACCCTGATTTGCCTTTTGGACTGATTTTTGAAACAAACATGAACACCTTCTCTTTGAATCCAGCTTTCCTCTCCTTGACATCTCCCATGGTGGGACTAACATATGCCTTCATCTTCACAGCCTTTTTTGCTACAAGATTTTGGCCAAGCAAGAGGGGTTTCCCATGAAAACCGTCTGAAAACAATGAGAAAGGTTGGTTTTTTTTTTCTGGTGTTCCCTCAAAAAACAAACTCTCACAGGTCCCTCAAGATTTCAGCTCTGATACCATGTTGGATTTTTGAGGGTAAAAAGGGAGGGATTGAGAGAGGACTTGGAGGAGAGGTAGAGATACCTGGAGTTTCCTCTTTTGGTGAGGTCAGAACCCATTTTCTTCCATTGATATTCTGCTATTTATAGCAAAAAAAACACAACATAACATAGAACATAAAAGCCATAAACATGGAAGGGTGCAGACATTCACCCAACCGGAGAGGAGAAACCATGCTCTCTTTCTCTCAATTTTCATCAATTTCTTCCTTCCTTTTTATAGAGGAAGGCTACACATAAAATAATAATATTTTTCTACCTAAACCATAATTATTAACTACCTAAAACATTGACTAAAATGATGAAGTTTGCTGTCACTTTGTTGCTACTGTGCAGTCATGTTGCAGCATCATTTAGCAGATCTCATTTCACTGCATTTTCAGCTTTCATGCCATAGCTCCAACAATATGATACTGTTAAAAGAAAATGATTTAGCTTTTCTCTAACCAAATATAACTTAAAGGACTAAGTTTACATAATCCCAATTGAGGTCCAACCCTATGAAGCACAATAAACATTTTATTTTTTGTTGAATCAAAAAATCTATTAATGGTAGTACCATAAAGACATATCATGACTCACGCAACAAAAATGTGGTGTAACAACCCTACGAGCAACACCCATATGTATATATGCTAACAGGTACCGTAGCACTCAGGCAATTGAAACAGAGCAGCACACTAGGCAACTTAGCTATTGGAGAAACCAGGCACAGCATAAAATCAGCAATCCTATGAAGCACAATAAATAGAACAAAGGGAGGTCTATATTTTTGAAATACCTCATATTTATAGCTGGAGTCACTTTATCCCTTAGAATTAAAGTATAAAGTCTTGTCAAACAGGTCAAATTCCAAGCATTTATGCAATGGTTCAGAGAGTCCCTCACCAGTTCAGAATATGTTTCTAGCTTTGGTGCTGTCCAATACCATGCTCAAGAGAACTCCAAAATTCTCTAGGCTTTGCCCAAACAAAAGTATTCTTTTCTTGTCAAATTTGGCATTTACAATATGTAAGTTTCTAAGTAAGCATTTCAAAATGCAGAAAGCGCCAAACTGATTTCTAAAAATCATGTACAACTTGGTTTGAATGAAAAACACAGAGGCTTCTATGGTAGCATCATCCTCTAGTGTCAATAACACAATCTCTAATTTGATAGGTTTAGCAACCCAATGATATTCTGAGCCTGTTTAACTGACTTAATTATCGCTT